GGCCGGCGGCGGGCTCGCGGGGATCTTGTTTCCCTCTGCAACTCGTTTCCCTTTTCCCACCGCTGCGCACAAGCTCAGCCCGGCAGCGCGTGACCAGGCGGCTTTCTGTTCCTGGTAACCGGGCCTGGTGCCACTGTGGGAGCCGAAGCCCCACGTCTTAACGTGACACGCGTGGGCCACACGGAGTCATTCTTAAACATTAACCCACCGGCTAGAGCACATTCTAGCCACAGTGTGAACGACGTGACGCAGAAAGAAAGGTACCATGCCGTTCCTAGCGTTTAATGATCTTCCTATTTGTAGTGAATATTGAGGTAAAACATGGTTTCAAGGAAAGAGCTATTATGATGCATTTCCCTGGTTCATCAAGCGCTTTTGTCACATCCTCGTTTAAATCTCCCAGCCCAGTTAAGTGGGTGTGACTGCTCTATGGTCCTGAATTTTATTTTCAGTGAGCAGCCAGCCCCAAGTTCGAGACCACGCCTCACCTGATTGTAGGGCTGCACAGACTCGCGGTGACTTCGAAGACCCACGGGCTCCGCACCACGCCCCTGCCGAAGCCACTCGAGAGCCCGAGCACGCCAGGACGCCACGCTCGGCCCTGGCGTAGCAACAAGCCACCGACCCCGCCCAGGAAGGAGGTCGCTCGCTGTGTGGAACCCATTTCTTGGCGCTGTCTCCAAAGGGGCGCTTCTGGCTTGCATGGCGGAGGCAGGTCAGGGCTACCCACAGGCACTGGGCTTTAAAAGCAGACGTCTGCATGAGGCTCTGACCTCCAATCAGCCTGAACCCTGGAACACTGACAGGATCCATCACACCCTCCACCAGGGGCCCACTCAGGAATTAACGGGGCTGCCCGGGCACCCACACAGCTTTCAGAGACAACCAAGAACTAGGGTGAAGGTGAAGGGTAAGTTTTTTTTCAACACCTCCCCAGACTGCCCCGCTTAGCTGGGGAGAGCAGCCGACGCACCTGCCCCACAGAACCGGAGGACAGAACAGGACAAGCCTCGGAAGCCCTGAGTGAGCTGTGCAGATCGATGGGCGTTATACCAGCAGAAAGCCACAGTGACAGTCATAACACACTCACCAAGTCCAAAGAACAGCAGGTCTCCCCCAGCAGAGTAGCATGAAGAATTTTTTTTTTAAAGTGATTTAATAGGTAGTCAGAACATTAAGCATAACGTCATCTACCTTGTAGTGATACTGGAGGAGAGTGCAGAGAAGAGAGTGTTTCCAAGGAGGAAAAGTGTATTTTGCAGTGATCACAATTGTCTCAGCTTGTCATTGCCATCATAGCTTCCTTATAGATGACTCATGAGGCCTCCTGCTTTTGAGCTGCAGTGTTGATCAGTAAAGCTTGGCTTGCTTTTCCTTTTAAATCTCTCTCACCACAGGATCTAGGTACTGCATATGACTGCTTTGTCAAAACCAAAAACATGGTAAAGTTTTAGAAGAACAGTGGTAGAAAACTTCCTAACTTGAGAAAGAAAACAGGAACATAGGGTTAAAAAAAAAAAAAAAGACATTTTAAATGGGGTGGGGAAGGGAAATGCACGGGATCATGGTGATGGCACACGGTTGACTTGGTGATGGGAAACCCGCGGGGATTACAATTGAGATGGAAAAAAAAAATGTACAAAATGATGTAAAAATAAACTTTTATAATAAAAGACATTTAAAAATGTCCTGGGTGCCCTCCCTCGTGGTGCAGCGGGTCACAGCACAGCACTGAGAAGCTAGAGCCACTTCCGCATGAGCTCGATCCCCGCCTGCCCCGGAGGTGACCCCAGGGTGCTGCAGACCTCTCCTGACCCGCCCGCTGCTCCCCTCAGCAGTGCACTTCGTCGATCTGCCTGTTCTGCTCCCCGCTCTGTCTCTGGTGACGCCTGTCGCCGCCCCTGAGCCTCTGGCCTGCGCCCCAGTTCTGTGTGAATAAATAAATAAATCTTTTTTTTAAAAGTGTCCTGGGTTGGGGGGGAACAAACATCAGCACCAAAACACATTAAAATGTCAGAAGTTGAAAACAAAGATCTTAAAAATAGCAAAAGAAAAACATGTAGCTTTCAAGGAAACTCTTACTCAGCAGGTCTCTCCAGTGGAAGGGAGTCGAGCAAGAGGGAAACCTGCCTGTGCCTGCTGAGCGAGAGCCCTGCACCCTGCAGGGCACTGGGAACTGGAGGACCCGTGAGGAGGTTGCCCAGTAAGCGAAAGCTAGAGGAGAGATAGCCACCGTGCAAGTGTTTAAAAATGCTGCAGGGGGTACGATGAACGGAGAGGATAGGACACCGACAGCGAGAGAACAGAGAAAACAGCACCGGGGAGAGTAAACAGTCAAGTTCGTGAGCTCAGAAGTTAAAGAGAAAAATACTAAAATAGCAATAAGTAGTTAAGATGAATAGAATAAAATGGACAAAAGTGATAAATTCATAAGGTGGGTGGGGGACCAAAAATGTTATTACCAAGTTGAAACAGATCGTTGCTTACAGAGGAGATGAGATGTGAGCTTCACGGTAACCACAAAGTAAAGGCCTGTAGTAGTAGAAAAGCAGGGAGATGCAAAAGGCATTTCTGAACATCGAGGAAAGAAAACAAGGAAAGACAGAAAGGAACTAAACACATCTTTTAAAAAAACCAGAGACAATATATGCAAATCTATCAAAAATCCCCTTAAATGTAAAATAACAAAATTCTCCAGTGAGAAGAGAGCGCTGGGTGGACGGGTTTTCTCTACAGGCAGCATGTTAAAAACCCATTTAAAATGTAAGGACAAAACCCAGGCAAAAGAAACAGAAAGCTGGTGGAGCTTAGACTTAGACAAAACAGACTTTCAAACAAAACAGACACTATATAATAATAAAGGAGTCAGCCCCCGAAAGAACACAACATTGATAGCGACGCAGCCCACGTAGAAACACCAAAGTAGGCAAAGTAAACATCAAGCAGGAGCTCGGAGGGAGGCGGCAGTGGTGCAGCAAGAGTCTGAGCTTTAGCACCTCACTGACCAGGCAGAGGTCATCAGACCAAACGACAGAAACACCAGCTCTGAGCAACTCATTAGATGACATGAACTTAACCAATGTATACAGCGATTGCACCCAAAGCGGAGAATATCAACAAAATCTAGGGGGTGGAGAAAACATCGTGTAAGGTGGAAGCATGGAATGATACACGTCCACATCAAGAAACAAGAAAAAAAAAAAAAAAACTAAGTGTACCCCTGGGGAACTAGAAAAAAGGAACAAAGTCCAAAGTGAGAAGGGAGGAAATAATAAATGAGAGACTACGAAGATGCTGGAAAGGTTAAACTAAGATCTGGTTATTTGAGAAGCTAAAATTGACAAACTTGTAGCTAGACTCACCAACAAAAACAGGAGAGCTCAAGTAAATGAGGGCAGACGCGGCGGAGGAGTTAGACCTGACACTATAGGAACACAGCGATCATGCAGACTGCTGGGGACATCTTAGGCCACAGCTAGACACCTACGAGGAGTGAGGGAAGTTTCAAACTGACACTGTAACCCCAGACTGAGTCATGGAGGAATAGACATCTGGAGGCCAACTGAGTGGAGACATTAAAATGGCAACCCAGCACCCTCCCCAGAAATAAAAATCCGGAGCCCAACAGTTCCACTGGTGACTTAGAGCAAACAGTCAAGGCAGCCTCAGCACCCAGCCTCAAACTCTTCCAGAACCCAAGAAGATGGGGCACTTCCAGCCCATTGTGCAAGCTAGTATCACCCCGAGACAAAGTCAGGCCAAGTCATCGTGAAAAAGAGAGAGTTACGGGCCAGTGTCCGTGGTAAAGGTCGATGTAAAAGTCCGCAGCACAGCATCAGCAAGCAGTCCTCACGAACACCAGTGGGGGTTGCCCGGGAACAGGGAGCACTCAGAATCTGCAAATCAGCCACCGCGACACACCTCGTTAACAAATGAAGACGATTCATAATGACCTCAGCAGGTGCACTTGGGTGAATCCAACCTTCAGTTATGACAAAAACTCTCAAGAACGTGGGTACAGAGGAACCGCTCAGCACGACACAGGCTGGCTAAGAGAAGCGCACAGCTGGCGTCACGTTCCGAGATCAGAAAACAAGGCAAGGACGGTCACCCCCGGGTTTGTTTACTCACAGAGTGCTGGAAATCCCGGTCAGGGCAGCGAGACAAGAAAACGAAGTCACAGGAGTGTGAACCGGAACATCGAACACAGGACATCTGGACGGCTGCACGCACGGCTGCACGCACGACAAACCGCTAGTAGAGCGAATACAGCGAATGAAGTTAGGGGGCACAAAGGCAACACGCAGCGGGGAGGTTCCGGATGCGAACAATGAGCCCCGAGACAGACGATGAAAACCGGAACAGCAGGCGCAGCCGCATCCCGAGGAATTCCCTACGGACAGGTTAGCCGAGCGGCGA